GGCCAATGTCGTTGGATCCTGTTACTACAGTATGGTTGCGTCTGCCTGGGTACAACTTTTATTTAGACACTGTCTGGGGGTGCCTGGGTGGCTCAGTTGGTTGAGCATCAGACTCTTGATTTTGGCTTGGGTCATGATCCCGGGGTCCTTGGATCGAGCCCCATGTCGGGCTCCCCGCTCAGCACGGAGTCTGCTTGAGATTCTCTCTCTCCTTCTCCCTCTGCCCCTCCCCCCCACTCGTGTGTGTGTGTGTGTGTGTGTGTGTGTGCTCTCTCTCTCAAGTAAATAAATAAGTTAAAAAAAATAAAGACACTGTCTGAGCACAGAGGACAGGTGCTCTGCTGGGCTTCTAGAAGGGGCTGTGTGTGGTTTTGGTAGTAAATGTTTTTACCTGGATAGATCCTCAGGCACCACAGTCTTTGGGGAGACCTAAGCCTCAGGTCGGTGGGGGGAGGCACCTGGTACCACCCCGGAAGCCCCTTGTGATCTTGGATGTTCTTTCTAGCTAGACAGCCAACATCCCTCCCCACCCTCTTCCCACAGCTGGGCGTCCTCTCTCTACGACCCTTTCCTACCACCTCCAATCAGCAGAGTTTCTTCCTCGGCCCTTAAATGTTGGCTTTCTGGAGTTCTCTCTCTCCAACATGCTGCCCACATTTACAGCTTCACCCGATACCTTCACAGCTCTCTGGAGGATGTGGCCTCAGCACCCACTGACCTCACTCAAACTGACCTTGTCATGTTCTCCCAAGCCTTCCCCTCCCCTCAAATCCCCATCCCAGGGAAGCCCTACTGTCCACGAAGTCACCAAGCCTGTGCCTGGGACCCAGGCTGGAGGCCACCCTCTTCCCACCCGACACCCTTCCAGGTAGAAGCTCCCCCCTCTTCCCAGACTTGGGTCTCTACCTTGCTTCCTGTCTGGTCTTCTGGCTGCTGACCTGTTTTTATTTTTATTTATTTTTTTATTTATTTTTAAAGATTTTATTTATTTATTTGACAGAGAGA